GACCCCTGGAGGCAGTGCTATGTTAACCTTGCTAGGGGTGTGTTTCAGATGGATGAAGAAGACACAGTGAAATGCAGCACAAGCAGCCTTCCTAAGGCCATTGCATGAGGAACACCACTTTCCTTCAGAAGAAGTTCCCATGAACACTTCTATCCCCTTGAGATCAAAACTGTACAGCTAAGCATAGGCTGATATACATGTTGTCTCCCAAAGATGACCATTCACTCAAATAAAGTCACAGACTCCACTGCAGTGACATGGATGAGGAACTATTTGACAGTGACAGTCCAGAGGTCATGCCCCAACATCTTAAAGGTCTTTTCCAACCTAAAAGATTCTATGATTCATAAAAAGCTCTGTGAAAAGGGCGAAACTATGAGTGAGTGTTTTTATTAGAGAAGATACCTTCCTTCTCCTAGAGACTGGGATTAATTTTCTGTAACTTTGCAAACACCCAGCAGAAAGGTTAAAAAGACTACGTTCACTTTTAAACACCAAAGACTTTTAAAGCAAAGACTGTCTTGACTAGTTTATACTATTAACAAAATAAATCAAAGTTATATTAACAATCATTCACCAGTGCCTTCCTCCACAAACTTTGAGGTCTGGTGTTTCTACCCTGCAAATAATAAAGGTCCTGTTACCTTTTTCACTTAAAATCAACATCCTGCATATGCTGTGAAGGTTTCATTTCACAATTATTTGAGCATCTCAGAAATAGCCATTATCCCTTTGAAATTCTCCTGCCCTGGAAATCCTTGTTCTGCTTTTCATTACATCGTTACATTTGCTATTGTTTTAGGTTAAAAAGAAGCACATTCCTCTGTTAAATGATAATACTTGCACTTTTCTTGTCCCTAGCACTTCATAAACAATGTGCCCAGTATTTCAGGTATTGCAGGCATGGCATGTGGCTCAAAAGATGAGCCTGGTGGTCCACTCTTTAGGCTGTAAGGAGCTCAACCAGCCAATTAGGAGGCCAGCTCAGGTCCTGGAGATCCTTTTGCGTGGCTGTAGTTTGGCAGTGCCATTACTAACACATGTTGAGTGAGCCATGTCACCAAGAGCTGCACTCTCCCACCTGGTTAAAGAATTGCCCAAGATTTTTGGCATCTTTCATCTGGTCTTCTCTGTTCATCTGGGACCCAACTCCCAGCTCTGAGGATGAGCTGCACAGCATAATGTTGGATTAGCAGCAATGACATGATGGGCTTCTTGTACTTTGGAGTCATCTAACTTGAAAGTAAAGCATCTGGTCCTTTCTACATCTGTTCTTTGTCCAGGCCAAGGACTGACTCCTTTTATTAAGCAATTAAAGATAATGGAAATATGCTCAAACTAAATTCCTGGGGTGGAGGGGTGGGGGAAGGAAGACGGGAGAGGGGGGAAGCCATTTTGCCAGAACTGGGAGGTTTTGCTGACTCTGCTAAAAATGTCACTAGGAAGGTTCCCCAAGCTGAGTCTGAAATAAGGCCAATGGGAAAAGAAAGGGAGAGAAAAATCTAACTCCAAAATAACCTCAGTAGACCCTGTTATCTTTGAGATACAGGTACAGGGTAAAAGCTTTTAGCTGCTAAGGCACTGTGAAGAAAAAAAAACTGCAGTGGAATTATTCCCTGAAAGCAGGTTTGTACTCAAAATTCTATGAAATAGGCAAAATCAGAGAGTCTAATGTGGGTGGATTTGTTTAGATGACAGAGAAAGGGGGACAGGACAGAGGAAGGTAGTTCCCAGCATGAATAGGGAAAATTATAAAGGGAGACGTAGATATCTAGACCCGGAAGAAGTCAAACCCAAATGACCATGCTCCATTGCCTGTCATAGACACAAACCCAGGACAAAGTTTCTGACTCAAAAATTTGCTTTCATTAGACCCTACTGATTAAAAATGACCAGCAGCCAAATTTTATTTCTGGATCCCACTGGGTCTGAAGAGGTTTTGGGGGAAATGGTGGCTGAGCAAATCTTGAAATTATACCAATATGTCATAATCAACAGCACCCCCACTCAGTGTGGTCCACGTGTTACCTTGTTCCCTGTTGGAGACTCCTTCACCCACATCTTCCAGACAAGTGCAGAATTAGCCTGAATAGTTGTACATTCCCTCCCTATCTGACGAACAGAGTTGCAGAAACACTGGGAATGCGACAGATCTGAAGTTGTGGTAAGGTTTGCTCATACGAGGGATGGGAATCTCAGCTTCTCTTCTGAGACCTGACCTCTTTCAGAGCAGGCTTTCTAAGGGGAAATCTTTCCTTGCTTTTCTCTCTTTCTTCCCTGACCCTCCCCCCTTCTGCTTCGTCCAGAGTATCTCTAAGAGAGCCAAATTCCCCTCGAACACGCTACAAGTAGGTTTGCTGGAACATCTGCTCTCCATCTGTGGAGACAGACATATCCCCAGGCAACACTATTAGCAGTGATGGATCTGGAAGGGAACATTAAGCACTGAAGAAGCATCTGCTGAGAAAGAGGAACCCAGCATATAAAACTAACCATGTTATTTGCTGAGCCTCCTTGTCTCCGCCCATTGCTCCTGGTGGACAACAACTGTCTCCTCCAGAGACCTGTTCACGAGAAGACCTGCTGTTCTCTTGCTGATTTTGGTATTTTCAAGTGTCTTACATTCGTGCCTATGGTGATCAAATGAGCACTACCAAGTGCTCAGTTAAACAGTGACTGGGGAGGTGTAGAAGCATCTGAAAGAGAAACTGAAATCTGGGAACTGCAAAGCATCCATGGGAGGCCAACAATGCAGCAGCAGAGGTGTTTGGAGTAGAGGTGCTGCAGCGTGCAGAGGTAGGGAACTCAGGCGGGGAGGCTTTTCTGCTGCCTGTTTTCTGTATAGCTGAGCTCAAAGCTGCTTACAAGGGTGTAGAAGGGACTGCTGGGATCAGACATGCAGCCCCACTGCCAAGCTTGGGGACTGTAGTAAGTTGTTTCTTTTGGGAACATTGCTTGTACATGACACTGGGAAATACAGTGGCACAATTTAAAAGAAGCCATTGCAGAATGAACTTCCACATCAGTTGACCCAAGTTCAAGTCTCAGGTCTGCCACCTGTGGCTGTGGCCATTCCTTTCACCCCTCCCACATCCCCTCCTGCCCTGTAGCCAGCTGCCTTGTCCCTTGTTGGAATTCATCCGGAGCAGAAGCTGTCCATCACTATGGACTTTCACAATACCAATATTTTGGTTTGGGGTATGTTGATATCATGACAAATTATTTAATTTGTACAAAATTAGTACAAAATTTGTGCCCTGAGCTGACCAGAGAAAGCAAGACACATTCGCATTATTTAACCGCTATTTGCCCTGTATTGTCACACTTGGTATTTTCCTTTGTCAAGCAGATTTACAGATAATGGGTTTCTTGCTCAGTTTGCACAACAAGAAGCAAAAAGGTAGTCCTAGTGTTTCGTACACCGCAACCTTCTCACATCTACTCTTTGCAAAAATCTTTCCAGCAGCCCGTTCTGTTGCTTTAAACTTCCTGGAGCACATAGAATTGCCACAAGGCAAAATCCCAGGTTACTAAGAAGCGTCATTCATAGTCTATGCCTTATCTTAAAATAAATTCCCTTATTCAGAGGGCAAAGCTACCAGGACTGCATCCTAAGTCATTGTTAGATGGCGGACCTGATCATCTTTTTGGATCCATTGAAAATGCATTTTCTGCTCTCTGGCTCCTCTTCTGAAGCTGTTGAGATTTCTGCTTTCAGCTGTCCTATCAGGAAGCTGTCTGTGGTTCATAAACTTCACAGTAGACATCTCTTGAAACTTTGCACAGCAGCAGGACATGAGTCTGTGCATGAAGTCAAGCATTTGATTAAGTGTCTTGATAGAAGTTCTTTATGACATGCTTCAGGAAAAGCATTTAGGCTTTCTATAACTTAAAACACGTTTCCATTCCATTATTTAAGTCCTTTCATCACTTAAACTACTTCTGAATGAATTTAAACATTGGCTTAGGTATTGTGGAAATCAAAGAGATTGAAGCACCCACTTATATTATGCACTTGCTTTAAAGTTCTGGTGGTACTTAACACCTTCCACCCCATTTGTCCAGCATCACAGGGATGCTGGACACCTGCTACTCTCCCAGTTTCCAGTACTTCTCAAGATGTGGCCCACCTGGCCCACCATTCTAGGCCTGCACCCATTGTGGGTCTTACAACTGCACTTATTTTCCAGTGCTTAGCATGGTCTGAGACAGAGCACTGAATGCCTGCATTGCCCACAAAATGTGTAATTTAAGTGTGAATCAGAAATGCAGTAACTGAATGAGGTGGTGTTGGCTTACTTAATAAGAGGTACCACTGTGTTCCAATTTAACACAGCGGTGCATCCCACATTTTCATCCCAACCATTATCTTGCTAGACGTGCAGAAGATGCCACTAGCTTCTGCTGTCAAAGAGGGCAGAATCATGTGTTTCTGACAGCATTATAATAGCGTTTTGTTTGTCCAGCCATAGGAGAATGTGGGGCTATTAACACTTTACCAAAAAGATAAAGGACTGTATTTTGTTTCTTCCTCCAACCAATCCTAACCAAACCCAACAACAATAACAACAGAATCCCTGTGTGAACCCTGCTCTAAATAGCAAGTGGAGAGACTGAACTTGTGGAAGAACTCGATAACTGCTTCAGTGGATTTTCCAGGAGAAACTCAATAGAAAATTCATTCTCTCTTGTTACATTCATTCATATTGTTTCGTAGTCAACAGCTAATAAAAAGAGAAGCACGTGTACTAATTAGTTTTGAGAGGAGAAGAATAGGATCGTTCCCCTGCTGAGGAGACACGAAGCATTTAAATCATGAATCCCGCCTGGATTTGCAACTGGGGAAACTTTTGTGATAGTTGTCCCCAAGGAAGCAACCAGGACTCTCTGCCCCCGATTTTTTGGGGGTATTAAGGAAATTAGAACCTCCTTTTCCTAATAATCAGTTTAGTCCGGAGTTGTAAATATTTCCGTCAGCTTGCTTCAGGCTGGTGGAGAGGATGGAGGAACTGTGTTATGGCCTCGAGCAGGAGGACCTCCCTCCAGAATTTCTCTTCTGGGAGCAGGCGGACCCCCACGCTGGGCTGGACAGCTTCCTCCCGGGCTGCCGCCTGCCCCAGCGCCAGGCCGCCAACGTCCGCGAGAGGAGGAGGATGCTCAGCATCAACTCGGCCTTCGACCAGCTCAGGTGCCACGTCCCGACCTTCCCGTACGAGAAGCGCCTCTCCAAAATCGACACGCTCCGGCTGGCCATCGCCTACATCGCTCTCCTTGGCGAGATCCTCCTCTCCGGGTGTGACCCCAAATCCTACGTGGAGCAGTGCCTGAAGAACGGTTTGCAAAGCCAACGGCAGGCAACCTGGAATACAAGTGGTGAGTGAACTAAGGGTTGCGTTTCCGGGGATCACAGCGATGCGTTGTCTTGCCACTGGGAGTGAACCTGTCCGATTGCTTTTGAACATCCACTTGTCACATTCAAATGGCTCTGACAACATACAGCTCCCTCTTAAAGAAAGAGTAGCTAAGTAATGTCTCAATAAAAAATAAAATCCAAACTTGCCTTCTAAATTTGAGGTTCTTTTTCCTAAAAAAAAAAAAAAAAAAAAAAAAAAAAAAGAAAAGACCAACTTACTAACCTCATGGGAATGGTTCCTTTTACAAACAAGACTAAAGATTTTGTTTATTCTCAGAATGTATTTTTAGACTTTTTCTGATTCTGTGCAAAGTTGTTCTTTTATACTGCAAGCTGATGCAGCCTTTAGAGATTTTCCTTACAAGTTTTCTTTAGCTTGTACCTGACTGAGAAAAACACCTGGCTTTGAACATAAACAGAACCTCATTTCTTAAAATATGTATATGTTGAAGTAATCAAGAGTTTCTCAGAGATACTACAGTTTAACACTGAAAACCAGGATAAACAAGACAGTGCATTCAAATTTCAGGTTTGTTTCAAAGTAGAGGGCAGCAAATGCCTATTTGCAATTTACATGCTTATATAATTATTTATATAATTTAAAGTGTTATTCTGTTATCTATTTGGCTTGCACTTAATCCTGATTTATGCAGGACTGAACTTTGTGTTTGCTTCCACCAGCCTATGGTGCTTCATCAGCCCACCATATGGTGAAGATGGGAAATAGCCCAAGTGCCCAACACAGGGCCTCAAGTCTCAGATAGAAAGCAACAGGTTTTGTGTTACTTGGCAGTGCAGGAAGGAGAAAAGGAGGATTTTCATTAGTTCCTGGCACTTCACATTGTATGATAATTTTCCACCTTTCTAACTCTGTCCCTTTGCAATATAAGTTACTTTGGATTTTGTCACTTTTTGGAAATGGGCCTTGAAGCATATCACCTTCAAAAAGTGCAGCATAAGTAGAGAAAAGTAATTCCAAAGAATATTCCCCTTTCATTTCACAGGGAAATGTCAAAGGGACAAAGACTACAGGGAAAAAGCAATCAGTTTACTTTAAAGGAAAAGTTAATTAAGTCTTTTCTCCTTTTCCATTAATTACCATTAGCTACATGACTGGGAAAATGAATCCTGGTCACAACTCTCTTGACTACAGAGAACATTTATATTTTATTTTCCAGCTACCTCCACCTTTAATAAATAAACAAGTTTTAAAACAACACAAATTACTCTCATAGGTGTCACCTCTTTTGTCAGGCTTCTAGTTAACTGATATTTCTGAAGAGCTCCACTTGGAAAGATCTAAATGAATGAGGCTGCTTTTCTGGAGAGGCTGAATAGTTGACTTGTAAAACGCTAATTTAAATGTTTTTAAATTCATGAGGTATGCCTTTATTTTGTTTTCCTTTCTCCCTTCTGTTCTGTGCAGATCTGACAGCCCGCCTGTCTTGGGTAAAGTGGGATTAAGCAGTATCCAAAAGAAAGATTTTTAAAGGCAACATATTGCAAAACCTGATGACCCGTCTGCTGGGTACCGGCTGTTGAATTCTCAGTATCGCAATCAAAAGCATGGCACTTATGACCTAACTTACTGTCACAGATCACTTTCTCGATGCATGTCCAGCATTCAGCCTCTTTTGGTTTTCACTGCTGTGTTGGGCCTTCTGCTTCTCTTTCTTCTAGTTTCTCACACACTGATAAACTGCTCTTGCATGAAAATAACAAAACAGATTAAAAATCAGTGTCATTACAAATCACAGCAACAACATTTCATTGTCCACTGGGTGAGAACAGTGTCCAAATCGCATTTCCAGTGAGTGGAAAAACCTACCCCTGATCACAAGAAAAAAACTAAGCACCACCTGTTGCAACCTATTTGCTTGGCTTAAGATGTCCAGGGCCATAACTGTAAAAGTCGCTGGTGATTTAGAGCACAGAGACCACGAAAAGGCCAGTTTTCAGGAGGTGAGATACAGGCCTTCCTGTTTGTGTGTCTCTCTGAAATTTCTTATGCCTTCCTCCCAATGTAACAACTTTGGGAGGTTTGAGGCCAAGGCATTTGGGTATGAAAAGGCCGACAACTGCTAGCACTTCGGCACCTTCTCCTCTACACCCCTTGCACATGTCAGCTTGAATGCTCATGCAAAGGCAGCAGCTGGCTTTTGACATTTTTACAATAATGTTTCTGGTTTGTGATTTTTTTGAGCAAATACCAGTGACCTGATGTTGCTCCAGCAACAATCAGGAAGGCTCTGAAACTCTTCCAACATGAAATGCCACTCACTTTCCCCCTGCAACAAAATGTAGAGGCAAAGCAGTGTGTTCACACTTGGAAAATGATTACCAAAGAGTTGTGTTCACAGAATAGCCATCCGATACTGCAGGCCATGGTAATAATGAGGGGTTTCATATTAGCAAAAAATAAAACCATGAAGAAAAGCCCATAGCTGTTTCTGACATAATTCTCCCGTATTACCTGAGTGTACCCTAAAGCTAACATTGTGTTTGTCTGTTGAATGCATTTTTTTCCCTGTCAGTCCTATATTGTAAAGGCTTTGAATCAATTTTTTGGTAAAGAGTCATCACACATCTTTCACACTTCTCTAACACCCTGCTAGTGCACTCAGAGATCTGAAACCATTCTGCCTTAAAGTACTTTATCATGGCATTTCTTAGCATGTAGGATGCTAGGTCTAGATAAAAGAGAATGTATTTATTTTAACATACTCATTAGTTCTCCTCATAGCTTTGATGTCTACAAAGCAAAACCATGTCAGGAACTAATGGTGTTGGGGGAAAGCAAAAATGAAGAGAGGCCTTTGAGGGGAAAACTGAAAAGAAGCTTTTTACCTTTTCAATTTTTCTGTCAAAACAAAAGCGGGAATTTCATCTCAGATGCAACAATGTATTTCAGTCAACTCAGAATAAAACATTTAATCTCAAACTTTTGACTCCTTTTGCTTTTTCACCCACTTAAGGCTCTTGGATGAATTTACAGGAAACAGCGCCCGAAAAGATGAAAACCTTAAAAAAACACCCAAAAATGAAATTTACCACTTTTACCTACTTCTCTACTCATTTTGGTTTAAAAAAACCCCAAAACAACAACCCCCCCCAAAAAACCAAACCAGAAACCCACCAACTCACCACAAAACCACCTATTATATTTTACTTGAATAAGTAAACAATATAAATCTCTACAATCTCTAAAATATGAGATCATTGTTCTTTCCAAATCTGTCACTCTTCTTTGCTAGAAATGTGGCAGGTCCTGCAGACACAGACCTGGCTGGGAAATCAGGGCTTGTGGCTGAGGTTTCTGTTTCTACTTGGGACATGTCACTGGTGCATTGATCCACTCTCCTCTTGCTCCTTTGTTTACCTGGCAGTCCCTCCAAACCCATGAATGCTTCTCTGTGTGCTCTTGGGCAATGCCTCACGCACAGGAACCCAGCTGGGACATCCAGTTGGGTTGCAACACTGGTAATACCAAAGCCACTTCTATTTAGCCCTATGGTAAAGGGCTCCAGATGGGGCCACATAGTATGTACAGTCTATCAATGCAGCACTCCCAATGCTTTGCTTGATCTTTCTGATACAAGTCCACCTTCCTGCATCCTGAAAGACCTAGGTCTGTGTTGTCATCCGGCTTCAGCTCACCTCACAGTCTGAGCTTAGCAAGGGTCAGTTGTGGAGAGAGTGAGAGGTACTTTAAATCCCTAGTGAATACCCACTCACAGGAAAGCAATATGAGGAGCTTGACAGGACCCAAAAACCTTGAGAGGTCCCTGTGCAAGACCAGCAGGACAAGTGATGGGCATGGGGGTTCTCCACACAGTCCTCTTCCTGGCCCACAACTGCTTACTGGTGGCCTCTGTACTCATGAAAAGGTGGAAAAATAATACAATCCAGGTTTTCCTGGCAGGGATGCAGAAGCAGGAGGCTGGTTTTTTTTCTAGGGAAGTACATGTGATGGCACCCAGAGGAGGCCACTGCTCTGAGGGAGATGCGCCTTAATCTTTATGTCAAAGAGAAGGGCTTATACAACCATGAATTCAAATTCTTAACTCTTAAATAGCAGGAAAGATGCAAATAAAAGGAGGCTTTCTCCATCTCTTTCCAGAGGGTCTGCTTGGCCCTTTGTAAAGGAGCACAGCACGCTAACCAAAAAGACCCCACTGTGACACTCTCCCTCCCTCCCACCTGCTCTGGCAATGCTGATCCTCTGTGTCACTGAAGGTGACACAAAGTGTCACAGTATGTGATGACAGACATGACCACCCAGTGGTCAGAGATGCCTTGGTGCTTGGGTCCAGGATCCCCAGGCACCTGTCTGGGACCCAAAGGAAATGAAACCATCCAGCCCATCACCTCTAAGCTCTGCAGCACACCTGGGAGCAGTGGTTACATTGCTCCCTTCCTGGTGAGATTAAGGCAGTCTCAGTCTTATCAGTGGTACCACAGACATCTTCCCAGGGCTGAGAGGCCTCCACACCTATCTCAGAGTCACACTCAGTAACCCAGGACCATTGCTCTCTCTGAGGCATGCAGGGGCAGGAATAGCCATGTGCTGTTTTTCGGAAGCTGGTCAAGCCTTTCCACAGTAGACCAAGGGTGGCAGACTGTCCGAATGCCACAGCCCCCAGCACCTTTAGCCAGAGAAAGCTCTTTCAACAGCCCAAGGTGTGATGCTCAGCCATCTATGCAGTTTGGTTGCCAGCCTGCAGCTCTGTACCAATAGGAAATGCAAAGATTTGGATGTTCCCATCTCCTGGGATAACACTACCATCCTGTGTCTGCAGAAATGGCGCGATCTGTGTCAACGTGGGAAGGGGGGGGCTGAATCAAGCCAGCTATTTAGAAAGTGTCCAAATAGACCCAACTTTCTACAAATTTTCATCAGCGTGTATATTTCTCCAAGGTCCTTACTGATGACAAGAGGGACCTGTGACTCATCCCTTCAAGATTCTTTCAGGCAGACCCCACAGGTCACACACTGTAGTCATTAGGGAACAATAACTGCCTCTCTAGTGTTGTCATAGCTAGTGGTGGAATAGCCTCCAATTGGGAAAGGTATCTGTTATAAAGGGTCCGTCACACCAAGCTAATGTTGGGTGTACAAAATCCCAGACTCCAGATATCCCTTATTTCAATGGTTTCAGAGACTGGACTATCTGCCTTGCTTTGCTGTACGCTGCAGCAGAGGGCTGTGCTGGATACAAGACAACAATGCCACGTTGTGAAACAAACATACATTTTCTGCAGGCACCTGATTAAAAGCAGAAATCTCTTTCTTTGCCCTTTACTCCAGCCTGGAAGTCCTAGATAACATCTTCTGAAGTAGGCTGGGTGTGTGCAGTAGCAGCAGGAAAGTGCACTCATATAAAGGTAATGTCGGACGACCGCTCAGGTTCATGCACTTCTTGCTGTGGACCAACAACTAATCTGGAGATTGCATTAGTACCAAAAGCATCCTAATGACAAAAGCAGGAAGAATTGTCAAAGAGATTTTCCTCAGTGTGGTGACACCAGATAAGGAAGGCTTCAGCTGTAGCTGTCAACTACAGCTGCAGTCCTCCTCTGATATGCAGACTCCCACCACTGATGCTCCATGCTCAAACAGCAATGCCAGGAAAGACAGAAATATCTGCTGAGCTTTCTGCAGCCTAGTTCCACCAACACCACCATGGAGCTCCTATGGGACTTGCCAGCTGTTTTGAGTGCAGCTGGCCTGTGGTCTGCAGGCTGGCAAGCTCTGCAAAACACCCTGCCATGGAGGCACTCCCACCTATCACTGCTGCTGTCAAGAAATTTTTGCACAAGGCATGACTTTGAGGAACAGGCTGCTGGAATTTGATGATGACTCTCAGCTTGGAAAAACTGCAGCAAATAAATCCTGCAGCAGGATATATAAGGATTGGGGTTTGGGTTGAAGTCAAAACCAGAAATAAATACGTTCCTGTCAGGAGTTAAAACTCTAATCCTGGGGTCTTGAGTCAGTAAGTAGGAGTCAATACATTTATTGCCACCATTAAAACTGATGAAGCTGTTTCTCCTCACGCACACTCTGCTTTGACACTCGTATCATTCCATTACCTTCAATGGAGACACATTTGATTTATGGCAGTGGGAGGGGACAGTCCACCTCTGTCTGGCCTCCTCAAGATACCCGGAGTCTGACAGGCTGTTACAGCTGATGTACCAGCCAAAGGTGCTAAAGCAAAGGATGCTTCTTGGGTGATGTCTTGTTAAATCATTTGGATGCAACTGGCTGCTAAAATGGTGAACCTGTCATGCCATCAGATCAGTTTCTGTTTCATCCTCTCTGATGATCCCATTCATTTGAGAAGAATAAAAGCAAATGAAGAGGGTATCAGCTCTCTGGCTGAAGGAAGCCAAGCTGGTGCTGTGGCTCTCAT